CTCTGGCCCCGCTCCAACAGCTCCGTGTCCTTCTGCTGGTGGGACCCCCCGAGCTGGAGGCAGCACCGCAGGGGGGTCTCCCCAGAGCAGAGCGCAGCAGAGGGGCACAGTCCCCCCTCGCCCTGCTGGCCACGCTGCTGGGGATGCAGCCCGGGGTGCCGGTGGCTTTCTGGGCTGCCAGCACACATTGCCGGCCCACGTTGAGCTTCTCATCCACCAACACCCCCAAGTCCTCCTCAGGGCTGCTCTCCATCCCTCCTCCCCCAGCATGGATTGATTTTAACAGCTTTTCTCCTTTTCTTCCTCTGTTTAAAGACTGAGCACGTCCGGGTTGAATGAGGACGCGCTGCAGGAGCTGGCCGCCCTGCGGGCACTGAAGCCGGACCTGAAGATCGGGTACCTCCTGGAGCAGGACGTGCCGCAGGCGGGGGCCATGGCCCGGCTGCCCTTCCACCGCGGGGTCCTGCCAGGCGTGGGGGGGATGGGGGGCAGGAAGGCGCTCCCCTCTTTTAGGAGAGGTCCTTGCAACAACCAGAGCCATTTCTAGCCTGATTTTTTGGACCAAGCTGACGTACCCAGGAGTGAGGTGCCAACCCTGGAAGTGAGCATCGACTCAGTTTGGGGTTTTAATAGAAAAGAAGAGAAATTCACAGTGAAATAATAAAAAAAAACCCAAACAGCGGTGCTTCTCGCCCCAGCTGCGGGAGGGTGTTTTGCCGCCGTCCTGGGCAGGGAGAGGTGACCTCCTCCTCGGCCAGGGCCACCCCTTCTTGGGGACGGAGTCCCACCACACTGCACGCGTGTCCCCAGGGACTCCCGCGGTGTGGCCGGGGCATCCTCACGGCGATGTCCCCAGGGTGCCAATGCCAACGTCGTCATAGTTTGTGTCCCCCAGGGGCTGTGCAGGGGGGTCCCTTGTGGCTCTTGGGGGACTTGGTGGGGGGTAGCTCTCACCTTAGGGACAGCAAAGGACAGTCCCGTAGGGGGGGGCTGCTACGTGTCCCTCCTGCCAGACCCTGACCGGGGTCTTGCCGCATCCCCAGTGGATTTGCTGCCCGCTCCCTGCCCGCCACCGCAGCCCAATCCCCCCGGCGGTGGTTCTCCAGGGGACAGGGCAGTGATGGCCCCTCTTACCTGTGGGTGGGACACAGGTCCAGCTGCTCCGTGCCACCCCCTCGGAGATGTCCCCAGTGTCAGGAGACAGGGACTCTTCCAGCACGGCCGCAGCATCATCGTAGCCGT